CCCGCTCCCCCAAGCAGGAAATTAAATGCCTCCAGGCTCTCATGGCTTTAAAACAACCACGAAGGGACTCGAACCCTCAATCTTCTGATCCGAAGTCAGACGCCTTATCCATTAGGCCACGTGGTCCCCCATAATCTCGGTGGGGACGGTACAAAAACCGGGGGGGGGTTGCCATGGATGTCCCTGACACCCCCTGTGCATCCCCCCATGCTCCCATCTCCCCTGGGATCGCTGCTGTTCCTCCCAGCACAACGCTGGTGATGGGGGTGAGCGGGGAAGGGTCCCTCCCCACCATGGGATCCCGTGTGCCAGCAGGTCACTGTAGACACCCCCCCCCAGCCTCAGTTTACCCCCTACGTGCTGATGGAGACTGTGCCATGCAGGAATCCTGAGGGCTGGAGCAGCCACATTCCCCACCTCCTGCCGGCTTCGCTGCTTGAGCAGCAGCTCAGGAACCCAAAATGCAAAGAGCAGACACCACCCAGGAGACACCCCCAATTCACCCCCCGACACAGAGCAGCTGGGGTCACCCTCCAGCTGCCGGCGGAACACAAGTCCAGGCCTTCCCAGACTGAGAGAGTTGGAGTTCTTCAGCCTGGAGAAGAGAAAGCTCCAGGTAGACCTTAAAATGGCCTTTCTGTACCCAACCAGGGCCTACAGGAAACCTGGGGAGGGACTTTTTACAAGCATACGTAATCACAGGACGAGAGGTGATGGCTTCAAACTGAAAGAGTGTGGATTTAGATTAGATCTCAGGAAGAAATTTTTCTTTCTGAGGGTGGTGAGAGCCTGGCCCAGGTTGGCCAGAGAAGCTGTGGCTGCCCCATCCCTGGAGGGGTTCAAGGCCAGGTTGGAGGGGGCTTTGAGCAACCTGGTCTGGTGGGAGGTGTCCCTGCCCAGGGCAGTGGGTGGCACTGGATGGGCTTTCAAGTCCCTTCCAACCTGAACCATTCTATAATTCCCTGCCACAGCCCCACGGAAAAGCAAAGCCAAGGCTGTCACAACCAGCCAAGGCTGTGCATGAGCCTTAAGCGGGAGGGAAGGAGTGTTTGGCTGCCAGGGTCGGGCATCGCTGGTGAAGGAAGAAGGATGGGGACAGCCAGGTCCCTGGAGACAACTTGTCCTTTCCTGTGACAGCATTCAGTGTGAAGGTCACAGCGCCAATGACCACCAGTGATGGCCACGCTTTCAACCACAGCCCTGAAGGTGGTCACCCAGAGGTGGAAGTCGACTGGTCCCAGATAATACCAGCCTGGGGGCACCCCTTTGGCCCTTTCCCCAGCCCCCAGAGCTGGCAGGGTTTGCTGGGCAGAACAGGGACCTGCAGCCAGGCTGCCTGGGGCTGCCAGTGCCCAGGGTTTCAGCAGGTTTGCTGTTTTCCGGCCAGCAGACTCATTTCCTCCCACACCTAAGAGAGAAAAACTACTTAGAAAGAAACTTCACTTTAGGTTTTACTAGTGGGATATCACCCTGACCACAGCTGCCTTTTAAAATCCATTAACTCCGTAGGAAAAAGACCCTCCGAGCAGCTTTTTAATGCAACAAACCTGAGAGGGCATCACCCCAAAAGGCACTTACATGGAGGACTCTGACCCTGAGGGCAGCACAGCCAAACTGCCTGACCCCAACGAGCAGCCCCTCGTGGAGATGTGGTTTCTGGTGGAGGAGCAAAGCTTTCTTCCCGTTAGAGCCTGGCCTGCTACGGGAAGAGGGTTTCATGGCACCTGTGAGGTAGTCATCCCCCAGCATCAAACGGCTTTTCGTTGGGGGTCAGACGCAGCTGATGATACCGGGAGCAGCCGGAGGGTGTAAAAACACAGCTGAAATTCCCTGCTCAGCCCTGACCCGACACAGACCCAGCTCTGCCCAGATAAGGCTGAATAAACAGCTTTTCCTGCTCCGCTTTTGCGCCTTCTGGGGCACCTCAAAAGATGCCTGTGCCCCAGCCAGAGCCATCCTTTCATTAACACCCCTCCAACACCCACCGTTCCCTATGATACCGGGAGCAGCCGGAGGGTGTAAAAACACAGCTGAAATTCCCTGCTCAGCCCTGACCCGACACAGACCCAGCTCTGCCCAGATAAGGCTGAATAAACAGCTTTTCCTGCTCCGCTTTTGCGCCTTCTGGGGCACCTCAAAAGATGCCTGTGCCCCAGCCAGAGCCATCCTTTCATTAACACCCCTCCAACACCCACCGTTCCCTTAACAGGACCCAAAGCAAAAGCTGGTTGTCATTCCCCCAGTAACAGCCTCACCTGAGGTGTTATCTCAGCACACTGTGTCACCACAAACCAGCAGATAAAGCCTTCTAAGACTCAATTTAAAGTTTATAAAGCACTATCTGGGCACACAGTGTCACCACAAACCAGCAGATAAAGCTTTCTAAGACTCAATTTAAAGTTTATAAAGCAGCCATTCTTTACCGAGGCACCAGGTGCACAGGGGATCTCTCCTCCTATTGTGCACACTGAATTCTGTTGTCAAATTAAATTCATACACAACAGGTATTCATAGTCCATGTAATTCCAAGAAAACATTAGTATATTCATTACATTTCTGAGAATTCATTTACATATTATAATAAGCTTTGGGGCATGTGTAGTTGTGCCTTCTCATGGTCCTTATTTTGAGTGAGGGTCGTTTCTTCCTCAATCTTCTTCATCTGTCCTTTGGCTCAATTTTCATGTTAGCAAAATATTCTAACTGCTTAATTGCTCATTAAAACTAATGATCTCCCTGCTACCACCTGTTTGTCAGACAACGTCCACATTTATTGCATCCCTGTCTTGGGCCACCATGTTCTCAGGGCCACAGACATCCTTTCTTATCTTACAAAGTCCTTGAAACCATTTGGGATGGTTCCTAAAATAGCTACATTTCTTCTCTAAAAGAAGATTCTTTACAGTTTAACC